TGAGCTCAATAATTTCCTCACTAATAATAGGATTTTATACACGAACATATACGATCGATTCACAAAGATTGACAATTTTATACATACGAATTCGGGGAGAAGTGTAGAGAAACCAAAAATATTTTTTTTGCAAATTCCTCAGAATTTTTCGTATTGTTACCATCATAGCACTGTTAGTAACCGAAATTTCCGGTTTTTTTTCAAAAAAAATTGTAAATTTCCGCACAGTGTAGATGAAGTTGTTCACTACCTTCTAAATTTCATTCAAAAATTATTATAAAAAAATTTTTTATAGATACAACTTATTTATTTTACCGATTTTTTCCACATTTTTTCGGAAATTTTATGTTTTCAGAGTTGACACGACTTGATGGTATGCCCATAAGACCCCCAACTGAGGAGGAAGTGGTTAAAATAGGTGCCGCTTTAGCGGAGCGAAGCGCTGCAGGAGTTGTAGTTTTAGCAGATGAATTGAAGAGAACACCAGAAGAGTGTTTAGTGATTGCCGCGAGGGAATCTTTTGAGAAATTCGATATTACGCACAGCGAAGATTTTCTTACTGGTGTTGACAATCCATTGATGCGATTGTTGGGATTACTCTGTGCGATAGTGCATCCAGTGGTGGCGAGTTCAGGAGCGAAAGCGGTATTGGAAAATTTGGGGAAAAAATCGGAAAATTTGAAATTTTCTGACGGGGAAATTTTGAGGGAGTGTATGAGAGGCGCGAAAATAAAAGCTGAGGAAATCAGTTCAAATTTGAAAGCGATCGATCGACGATTGTGTGATGTGTTGGAAAATCGAGTAAAACTATACGAACAACGCGTGGCTTGGTCGGAGGCTCTTGATACGGCGTTGGTTAGCGAAGCTCGAGTCGATCAAGGCGTGAGTCAAAGTAGAATAAATGTGCTGCGATTGGAAAAAGAAATGAAAAATGCGATGATGAAGAGAAACACGGAGGAGTTTGAGGAAAAAAAGGAGTGAAAAAATTGTTATTATTTGGAAAAAAATTTTCCGGGAAAATTTTGGTGTTGTGTTTTTTGTGGCGCGTGACGGTGGTTAATGTGAATCAACGCGTTAAAATATGCACATGGTCAACTTTAGTTTTCTGATTATGTTTTTATTACATTTCGAAAAATTGTTTTCTTTTCATAAATTTTCCGATTATGTTTTTATCACATATCGAAAAATTATTTTTTTCCAGAAATTTTCTGATTATGTTTTTATTACATATCGGAAAATTATTTTTTTCTATAAATTTTCTGATTATGTTTTTATTACATATCGAAAAATTGTTTTTTTCCTGAAAATTTTTTCCAGAAATTTTCTGATTATCTTTTTATTACATATCGAAAAATTATTTTTTTTCATAAATTTTCTGATTGTTTTTATCACATGTCGAAAAACTATTTTTTTCTGTAATTTTTTTCCATAAGTTTTCTGATTATGTTTCTATTGCATGTCGACTACGGCGGTCACCGCACCACGTTAGAAGTCTCCGATGAAATGAATTTTCGGGAATTTCAAGAAAAATTTTCGAAATACCGGAGTAGCTGTCGAAAACAAGTGAGTTATAATATTCGAGTTTCTCC